CAATACCCAAGATTCTCTTAGCCTTACCTAGGTCTTTCATGTCAAATTCACCACTTAGTTTTGCTTTTATGTTATTTATCCACTTAGAGGATGATCCAATCAAAAGCATGCCATCCACATAGAGCAACAAAAACAGATAATTATCACCAGTCTCATTGTGTTGAAAATACAGGCAGTGATCAAATTTACTTCTTTGGAACCCTATAGTGAGTAGAAAAGAATCAAACCTCTTGTACCACTGTCTAGGAGATTGTTTTAACACATACAAGGATCTTCTCAGAAAACACACATAATCAGGTTTTGACTTATCCTTAAAACCTTTAGGTTGATTTATGAAAATTAGTTCATCCAGCTCACCATGTAAGAAAGCAGTTTTTACGTCAAGTTGTTCAAGTTCCCAGTCAAAATGTGCAACTAATGCGAGCATGACCCTAATAGTGGTGAACTTAACAACTGGTGAGAAAATTTCATTATAATCAACGCCTTCCTTCTGTGTGTAGCCTTTAGCCACTAACCTAGCTTTAAACATTAGGGGTTCCAAGCTGCTAGTTCCTTCCTTAACCTTAGAAACCCATTTGCAATCAACAATTGATTTATTTTTAGGCCTAGGTACTAGGTATTATTCTTTTCTAAAGAGCTCATCTCTTCTTTCATTGCCTTAAGTCATTCATCAAATTGATCACTGCCTATGACTTCTTCAAAGGTCTTTGGCTCTTTATTAGCTAGTTCTTCATAACTAGCCTGGGCAAAAGCTAATTCAGATTCAAAACCAAACCTTCTTGGTTCTCTTATCTGTCTCCTCTCTCTATCCCTACCTTAGTTATAGTTAACTAAAGGATTTTCTTCCTCATAGTGTTCTTCTGTTACTATTTCATTACTATTCTCCACTTCAGGTTCCTGAGTTTGAGTCTCCATCTCATTTGAAACAGTAGGGGCAGGTGGACTGAGTTTTCCTAACTCCAACTTAAACTGGTTTCTCTCTTCACCCGATTCTACTTCACTCTCAGGTTCAGTTTTCCCTTTAATACATGGCATCTCATTTTCATTAAACGTGACATCCCTACTTATGATGATTTTAACCCCTTTTTGACTTCTATCCCATAACCTATAACCCTTAACACCCTCTGGGTATCCTAGGAAAACACACTTCCTAACTCTAGGTTCCAGCTTATCCTCACTTTGATGAGAAAAAGATGTACAACCAAAAGTTCTAAGTATCGAGTAATCACTCAATTTACCCGACCATCTTTCATGCGGAGTGTCACCATTCAATGCAGCAGAAGGAATCAGATTAATCAAATAGCAAGCGGTCATAACAGCCTCACCCCAAAATGACTTGGGAACACCCGAACTAATCATCATGCAACGTACTTTATCAAGTATGGTTCTATTCATCCTTTTTGCTACCCCATTTTGCTGAGGGGTGTAGGGAATGGTCTTATGTCAGTTATGCCGCTTTCTTTACACATACTATCAAATTCTTTATTGCAGAATTTTAGGCCGTTATCTGTCCTTAAAAATTTGATTTTCTTACCAGTTTGGTTTTCCACTTGTCTCTTCCAGTTATTAAAACTATTGAAGGTCTCAGATTTATCCTTCAAAAGATAGACCCACACTTTCCTAGTATAGTCATCAATAATAGACAGGAAATACCTATTACCACCCGATGTGGGGTTACTAGCAAGACCCCAAAGATCAGAGTGCACATATTCGAGCATGCCTTTAGCTCTATTAACACTTGTGGAGAAAGAAGTTTTGTGATACTTACCAAGCACACAATGATCACAAAATGGCAAATCTGATACACGGTCATTACCAAAAGCACCCTTTTCATTAAGTAGCTTAATTCCCTTGACCCCTACGTGAGCAAGTCTATTATGCCATGTGTGTGTGTGATCAATCTTGGCAGAGGAGATAGAGGAATTCACATCTCTAATCACTTCCCCAGTAGTAATGTATATATCATTTTTCTTAATTCCCTTAATGGAAACTAAAGCACCCTTGATCATTTTTAGCATACCATTTCCAATTTTACCAGTAAAGTCATCCTTCTTAAGTCTCCCTACTGAAATCAAATTCCTAGACAATTTAGGAATATATCTAACATCCTTTAACGTATACACAAAACCTGTGTCAAATTTTATGTTTATGTCACCAATTCCAGCAATAGTATAGGCAAAGTTATCACACAGTACAACGTGCCCAACTTTAGATTCATGCAACTTATAAAACCAGTTTTTTTCAGACGTCACATGAAAAGATGCACCAGAATCAAGTATCCATTCATGGATGCGGGAATTAGCATTTAGGTTTAATTTAGCAGTGTATGCAACTGGACTTGTAATCATATAGACCTCACCACCATTTATATCGGAAGTAGATGTTAACACATATACCTCATCTCTCTCCTTAGCCTTTAGCTTACCCTTCTCCTTATAACAATCTTTTATAAAATGCCGTGTGTTTCCACAACCATAGCATTTTCTCGCCTTAGTCCTAGATTTTGATCTAGACCTACCTTTGCTCTTCTTTTTCCATCCATTACCACTTGACTCGCCACTAATTTGATATCCCTCATGACTATTTTGCTTAAATTGAGTTCTACCCCGCATCATATGTACCTCACCATTCCTCTTATCATGTTTTTCAGCCCTAATTTCCATTTCTTTACTTCTAAGGGAATCTATGACAATTTCAGGAGTTAACGTGTCTCTACCTTACTTAATGGCATTCTTAACTTCCTTATAGGAATCAGGGATTGCATTGAGCAAAATTATAGCCTTATAAGTCTCAGACACAATCTCATCACAATTAACTATGTATTGCACCAATTTGTTAAACACGTCTAGATTGTCATCAAGATCCTTTGAGGAATCCATTTTGAAATTGAAAAAATGTTCAAGCAGGTAAAGTTTATTCGGTATAGCTTTAAGCAAATACAAGTCTTCTAATTTCTTCCAAAGTTCTTTAGTGGTTTTTAATTTACCCACCTTTCTTAAAACAACGTCAGACAAGTGTAAAATAATTGAGATATAAGCAAGCTCATTGGCTTCTTCTCTTTGTTCTTGTGAAAAATCAGTTGAAAAATTGCCTTCAATTGCTTTTGAAACCTTTTATTGGACTAAAATACCCTTCATTTTTTGTTGCCAAATAACAAAGTTACCCTTTCCATTAAAAATTCTCAAATCAAAACTGTGAGTTGTCATCTTCACACAATAGTCAAAAAATGCACAAACCACACAAAGTAGTCCTAGGGTCACAGACAATATACATCGTTCTAGATTCCCAGGGTTTCGTAAGACTCGCGGTTTTAGATCAAGGAAATGTTCGAACGGGTAAAGTCACGGTATTTCTAATGGAATAAGTAAGCAGTGGAAATAACAATGTAGCAAAAAATACGTCTAGTAGATAACTAGTCCCACAATAATTAGATCACTAAGAATTACAAAATTGATTTCCACTAAAAAACAAATACTCAATAAAAAAAGATCAATCAAGTGCACGTAACCCTAATTCTAGTACAAGCAATGGTTACCAAGCAATGACAACCCCCAACCTATTGTCACCCCACATGGTGACGCGCTAATGCTGAAAAACTAATGGGTTAAGCCAATTTACCAGAGCGGACGTGTCTGAGTCCGTATAATCGAGAGAGATGCGAATCTACTGCTTTAGGACCACAATCTTGGCCTAAAGTAATTCAGTAGATATATGCAGTTTCAAACGTCAATCCACCGGGGGCAAAATTGTCCAACTTTTTCTGTGTAACCTGAAACAGAAAATAAACAGTATCAGTGCGTTCAGGAGATTAAAGTGAGCAAACTGCCCGAAGGAAGTTCGTCCGGAATCGCCGCCACGCGCCACACACGAAGGGGCGCCTCAGCCTGCTGGTTCCGAATATGAGATCGGTTTCGCTGGGAAGTGACTGGATTGACCGGAAAAGAGGATTGCAGTCACGGTTTTACACCAAACTTAGGACTCCACCGTCGATTTTTGCTGATTTTCAGGTCGGGGAAAGTTACTCTCGCTCTGATACCAGATGTAGGGTTGATTTCCACCACCGCCAAGTACAAAATCGGGCTCAGTTTACCAATTTATCGACACCACAAAGGTTGAGACAACTCCAAGGACCACTACTGCCGCCGCCCCCACTCCGGTTGCTATAAGTTGGAAGTGAAAGCCCAATGATGTGCCCACAAAAGGGATTAACCACAAAGGTTACAGTGAAGTATATCAAGAAGCCGAAAGGTGAAGTCTCACAAAGAGAAGGGAAAATAGGCACACCATAGGAGGCCGAGAGGAAGGAGGGATTATATGCCAAGTAAATGTCCAAAATAGGTAAGTTAGGTTAGGGTTAAATTGTAGAACAAAAACAAGGCTCGACTTAATTAAAGTGGGCTTCAAAATAATAATATAGCCTTCCAAGGAAATGGGGCGAACCGTGAGCAACACTATTTAAAATAGGTTGCTTCGAACAATCCATAAAAATGTGGATTGTGTTGTCTCGATAATTGTGTCGATGTACTAGTCAATCATATGGCCAAGGCCGATTGATAATCTAAAACCGAGGTTACATCATCGCCCGGAGAGGTCGTTTGACAACAAATTGCCTAACATTAATGTTTAACTATGTTCTACTATTAAGATTCATGTAGAGAATATTAAGGAATAAAATTTCAAATCGAATGAAGATTAAAATATAGATTAATTCATAAGGATTTGGATTACTCTTCTTAATACGGTTGATTTTTTAAGATGAAACTCCAAATCTTAACATGGTATCAGATCCATTAAACTCAAACAAACAATTAGATCCCATTTAAGACTCAAAATGAGCATAGAAATTTCAAGATTTGCTTGCTCAAACAAGTTATCATATTGTGGGGACATGTTAAATAATAAAATTTCACATCGAATAAAGATGAAAAACATAGACCAATTTATAAAGGCTTGAACTACTTTCTTAATAAGGTTGACTTTTTAAAATGGAACCCCAAATCTAAATACGTAATACCAATTTTTGCAAGATAACAAGAACAAAACATTATTGATCACATAATTTACAACATAAGTTCTAATGCTTCTCCAGCAAACCCTATATTTATGAAATAACAAAAATGAACTCCTACAGATCCTTGCATAATATCTTTTCTCAATGCATATTATACCCTAATGCATAATCCTGATGCATTTCTTCAGATCGATCAAGTCTAGAAGCTGGAATCCCAAGACTTGGACGATGCTGAAGTTGCATCAACAAAATCATTGGACCACCATCCGAGGCTGTCCATTGATCCATTCATCTCCTTGAAACAATCAAATTCAGCTAAATTTTGACTCTGCGTAGGCTGAAAATCAGCAACTTCATTGTTGAGCAAATCATCAAGTTCAGCTTGTGTAAATCCTGAGAGAGGTTCAATGCCCGTGTAATTAGATTGTCCCACAAAATTTGATCCTTGAATATTGGTCTCATTTTCGGAATTTTGATGCTCATCCGCCTTCAAATTGCTTATGGTACTCCATTCTACAGCAGCCTGCAGAGGACCGATGGGAGTTCTTTGAATGAGATTATTTTGATTATTCTCATTCAAAAACTGCTGGCTTTGGACCATTTTGTCTTGTAAGGGATTCAATTTGGGCCAAAATACAGGATTATTGTAGAAAGAGAAAGGGTTTTGAAGCTGTATGTGGAGCTGAAGTCTTTCCAGAGCAGAACTGCTGAGGTTCTTCAAATAATTGTTTTCCTCTCCACCATTTGGATCGTTTGGATCCTGACCTGAAACTGCAGATAGTTGGTTCACGCGAGAATTTTTGCGCCTTCCGAGCAACTTTTTCTTCAATCTAGTGTTCCAGTAATTTTTAATATCATTATCTGTTCTTCCGGGCAGCTGGGCTGCTATTACAGACCACCTAAGAGGAAAGAATTTTGAAAAATAAGAAGCCCTTGGATCAAGAATTCAATTTTCTTCAAAAATATACACTAAAAGAAACTTTGACTCCTGATATTAAGCATGTGAAAAGAAAGGTAAAGATAAGTAAAACCCTCATGAGAAAATAAGTAATTAATCCTTAATTAGGGCGAACAAGTGATGCCTCAAACAAAAGCATCATAGACAACGGCTAAAGGACAACTAGCTTTTGCTGAAACTCATGGCAAACATTTATGCATATTGTGTTTGCCTGTTCATATGGAGGGAGGGAGGGAGAGGGAGGGAGAGGGAGGGAGAGAAACCTGCTACCAATACTGATATAGAGGCTGCATATGATGTTGTCTTCTTCTTCACTGAATCCTCCATGCTTGATATTAGGTCGCAGGTAATTTAGCCATCTAAGTCTGCAACTCTTTCCACATCTTTTAAGCCCTTTTATAATCATTTCCAACAAAATAATCAGAACATGGAACATAACACACATACAAAGAGATCTAGAGAGGGGAGGAGGGGGTGAATAATTGAGTACCAATTTTCTGAGGAAGAGCAATCCAATTGCCACCAGTTCCATACTCTTCAATATATGCCTTGAGTTTTGCATCTTCTTCAGGAGACCATGGTCCCTTCTTTACATTGGCTTTGTCACAGCATGGGGCTTTTCCCATCCTTACCCTCTATTTTGGTACTTTCTTTCTCAAATTTCTTCTCCAGTGTTCCAACTAAATGATACAGATAGAATTAACTTTCTATGATATCTGATGAGGAAAATGTCAGAAGGGAAGACCTTTCTTTATAGGTAGAAAAATGATGATAAAATAATTGGATGAACCAAAAGTCTTACCATCTCTTCTAGGGTTTGTCCTCTCTCTCTCTCTCTCTCTCACACACACAAATTTGGATTAGTTCAGTCATAATATAACATGACAAAGTACTGCACAAATTTCTCTCAAATTCATATATTAAATTCACTATCTTTTTGGGTTTACAATAATTTATTGTGTGGAGATTGTAAGGTAATGCTAGAGCAAAAATTAAGAAAGTAGAAGCCTCCATCCTCTGGTAAATTTCCTCGAAATGATTGATATTTGGGGGAATTAAGTTCTTACTAATTTACAACAAATTCAAATTCTTTATTATAATATTATCCTACTAATAATTCAGCATTAAATTTCCTAGGTTTAGATGATGGACCATTCATATTGTAAAAGTTCAGAGATGATCAAATGTACCCAAGTTTTCCAGGAAAAATAAAATTGCATTAGGTAGTAAAGCGGTTGTCTAATCTATATATATATACTGCTTTGAAAAGTTCGATGTAAAACTATCTTAAGAACAAGGTTTGACTTGTCACAATGAATGAAAACTTATTGTATACAATCTATAGATAGTAGCCTCAAGGCCCTCAATGATTAATTCTACTTAGCTTGATCAAAGTACATTCGATTATACAGAAAGAGAAAGTGAACTCTCTAAATAGCTAGTAGCCTCAAGGCCCTCAATGATTTAATTCTACTTAGCTCGATCAAAGTACATTCGATTAAATAGAAAGAGAAAGTGAACTCTCTAACATATAGATCATTACCATGAACACAAATTTTCGGAAGGTGCTATATTAAATATTAAAGATGACATTAATTAGGGCAAAATTCATGGCAGATTTAAGGTAAACTAATAGATTTTGCATGTAATCCAAAAATTTGTGTCGTTCAAGTTCTATATTATGTTGTTCCATGTAAGAATTATATAGATTCGATTTTCTTAATCCAGTGGTCATATATTCAGAAACGAAGTGATTAAGGACACAAATCAATCAAGCAGATTCCCTCAAATGTAGGGCAGCGACAACAATATACACTTACTGTTACTGATATAGAATTAAAAATAAGATTTCTATTTAAGAGGGCAAAGAATTAATTAATGTCTAAATACAACATCTATAGGTTCTGAAAATATCAATGGGGATGAAAGTAACATTTTCCACCATGACAAAAGGATATACAGTGACACCATTTTACATTAAGGAGTCATATAATAAAAAAATACAAATATTCGAATTTTATGATAACATGACTGCTACTTTACACCTGCATTGCATTAATTAAAATTATAATACAAGTAAAATCCATTTTATGGATTAGGATTTATAAATTGGAGGCTTTCAGATTCTCTTAGACATGCATACAAGAAAATTGCTTACAGTTTTTGTTATATTCCATATAGAATATAAGTTATTATCTATCATAGCACCAGCAATACCGGAGAATTTTAAAAAATTCTATTTGAAGACAAGCCATTGATGTCACCTTGAATCAAGAAACTTCGTTGCCATGGCTCAAACGCGGTAATTAGGTTACATTAAATAACAAAAGTGTATCATAAGAAGGCAAAAATCTTGAAAATTTCCTATTACTCAGCTTCGTCATTTAGAAAATGTCAACATACTGCTTTCTCATCTTATAGATTTAAAACAAGAAAAGCAGCACCAAGTTTTACTTACGAAACAATTACTTACTATTTTTTTAAATAACCATGGTTGTTCAGACCAGCTTACGAGTACCTCGACTAATTTCACGAGACTCTGAAATTTATAGTCGGGTACGCACCTGAGTAGCTCTGAGAGGATTCGAACTGGTGGCTATTGAGGAGCAAACTCAATGCCTGATTACTGAACTATTCTTTAGGGTTAACAATTACTTAGTATTTTACAATCTTATTTATTTCTTAATAATATACCTTGTGTGCAATTTGAAATAATGGTCTTTGTTTGAAACCACGTAGAACTATATCATTAGGGGAAAAAAAAAAGATTAATTATTAGATATCAAAATTTTTATCCATTCGTATTTACATCAAAAATATCTTGTGTCTTTTCAATCTTATCACAGACGTAAGTCAAGAATTACGTATTTTTTTCCTGTAAATTTCTCACCAACTTGTTTTGAGTCGCTGATTACGGCATAATTAACAAGTCTTGATGGCATTATTTGTGCTATTTAATTAGGACACCCTAAAAGTTAACAAGTTGGCTTGAATTCTATATGAATATAAGGAAAACTCCATAAAAAGTGAAGGAAAAAACAATTAAAAATGGCTTAAAATATATATACTTTTAGAGAGGAGCCTCCATTGATTGACCTCAGTTCCAGAGGATAATATTTTTCTATGCATTTTTCTTTAAATAAATGGGGAAACGATTGTCCGACCCGCAATTTGATAGAAATAACAAGGAGAAAACTATCATAATTCAAAAGATGTTATATTTTTTTAATAAATAATGAAATTGAGTCAGATCTTTAGGAAGAAGAAAAATGTTTCTGCTTGTCTTTCTCTCCAGGTTAGAATCTCTCTCTCTCTCTCACAGTTAACACTGCATTCCATGCATCATCAAATAAAACCTAATTTATGACCTATATTTTTTCAGAAGAGCTGGTGAAATAATTGTTGGTAAAAGGATAAGCACGGGTCACCATTGCCTTAATACAAAATTAGAATGAAATTTAGGACAGTCAGGTTTAAGTTGTTAAAACTGAGCTCGCTTACAAACAAGTCGAGGTTTTTACTTAAACTACGGTCTATCTGTCATTTGGTTTTATTCTTTAAATGATAAGACTTGAACACAAGACTTTTATCTGTCTTGATAATTTATTTTTTCTTTATATTTTTAAAAATTTTAACCCAATGAGTGTGTCTTAAATACCCTCAATTGTCCCGTGAATGATCCAGCTATATGCAAGGTTTAGATTGCTTCAATTTACTTTGTTGACTTCAAAATTCTGATCGACTTTGTTGTCAATAGATTCACTTTTCTATCAACATATATATTACCTACACAATTGGACTCCATTAGCATACAAAGATCACCGTTCCAAGAAAATGGTTGATGGTCTTGAGCACTCGGACGGTGAAGTTAACGGGCTGAAAAATAAGAATAAAAACTATGGGGTTTGCACCTGCAAAAAAGACAAACATACAGAATTTTGGCTATAATTATATATGCAGGGGCGGATCTAAGGTTGGGCTGGGCTGTGTTATAGCACATCCCTCTAGACCAAATGCTAATTAAAAAATAATAATAAAAATTATATGTGAACCTTTTTTTTTTTTGTTCAAGGCAAGAAGCTTCCCCTACTGGCTCTTGCCCGCGAACTTATTTGAGTTCCATCATCTCCATTTGAACTCGTCTGAGGTTCGCCAACGGGTGAAGCTGATCAAGGTGAATTTTGTACAATAACCATGCGAGTTGCAGAGCGATATCATCACAAATGTGAATCTGGTAGAACCTATCCCCTCGTTGCCATCGGACAAAGTGTATGATAAGCAAGCAAGGCTTCCTTGATTACATTAGCCTATGTGGTCTCCACGTCTCGATATGGGTTGCTGATGTTTAATGTACGTTCTGATTCAACTTGTTCTTTGAACGAATAACAAATTTTTAATGATACAAAATCAAGTCAGGATCGAAAAAATTACAAAATTGAAAAGTACTTTATATATATATTTTGAGACTGTCTAAAATCTTAAGATGTTAGAGAGGACTCGAACACATTTATTAATATACTGTATTTAACATGCTTTTTCCCGTAGAGGCCAAAATGTAACATGTACATCACTTTACCTAGTTGTATTGATATTACAAATGAAAAATTATAGAATATTTTGAAAAGCTTCCGTGCAACCAATCAGCACGAAACACATAAACTACCGGACGAAATAGGGCAAGAAGACCTAAGAGCCAGAGTTTGACAAAGTTACACACACAATTATGAAACCATTAAATTTACAAAATGAATTATTCTTTGAAAAAGACCTTAATGACTTTTGTTTTCCATGAATATATTAACCAACCTGTGATTATCTCGAATGCACTTTTTGTAAAATAGGTCACAAAGTGACATATTAGCTGAGTTGAAATGGAGTCCTAATCCCTCAAATCACAAGTTATCCCAACTAACTGTCAACCCCTTTGTCTCAACAAACCCATCTCTTTATTGACATCCAAGATTTTGACTTGGCCCTTATCGTTAAGATTTGGAACATTCATTTGCCTCTCTCTCTCTCTCTCTCCCCCAACAATTTTATGCCCATTTAAGTGCATTGGATTCTACTTATAATATAAATTTGGATAAAGATTCCAACATTTTTTCTTTGCTCTCTATATTACCTTTTGAATAGATTTCGTATACATTACTGTAATATACAGGATGATGCGTAAGTTTTACTTGTTTTTCTTAATTGAGTTCTATCCAATACAGCAGAATAAACATCCTATATTAAGTCTTCCTTTCGAGTGAGAAATAATTGTTCGATAGATTACTGAGATATATACCGGACTGGTCCTGCCAATTCGACTGAAAATGGATTGACTAAAGTTTTATTTTCGACATCAACTGTAACAAAGAAAATGTAATCCTAACCCACTTACCAGTACTCTATCTCTTGGCACTTTGTAATGAATACTGCTATCTAGCAAATAATGATACTTAGCACTTGTCTATGCAGCGTACTTCTCCAATAAATAAAATTACAACACAACTTTATTGCAATGTGACAGCATGAGCAAAGTCAAAGGTACGTGAGAAATTGAGCTTTAATTATAAGTGCAGCTGCCGTGTATTAGGTACATACATAGAGAACATTTGGATGTTGATGGTGTCATGAAATTGACTTCAAGATTTGTTAATCTAAGTTGGTGACTGAAGTCAAATAAAGTTGGAAAATATAATCAGAAATACTTAATCTCATTGCCTTGAAAAGTTAATGCAGATTAGAGTCCCATTTACACATACTAGTGGGCATAGGAAGTACATCAGAATAAATATGACTATTACAT